TTTGCATATAGCTTTTTGCCGATTTACGCAACGACGCTTTTTCTTTTAACTTTATAAGACTCGATCGCGGACCTTTTCGAGCACGATTTCGAAAGCTTACGACTTCTTTAAAAGTTTTTTTAATAATCCGGTCGATTTTCAAGCCTTTTTAATTATTACGGAGTTTTACTTTAAGCATTGCGCTCGATAAAAGTGCTACTTTAGCTAATTGATATTGCTTCGGTAAAGAAAACGGGGTACGCTTCGCTTTACTTAAGCTATAAAAGCTCGTTAGATTAACCGCGTCACGAGACTAAGACTTTAAGATAACGTAATACGCTTTCGAAAGAATTCTTTTTAGTATTAATATATTATATTAAGTTTTCTTTTAAAATTTAAGCTTTCGTATTTACTTTTTCTTTTATATTCGGCTAACCTCGGTCCGGCTTTAATTCTTATCGTTACGCGACGTAAACAGCTCGCTTTTAATTAGCTATAGCAGTTTGTATATGCTTGATTCTCTTTTTTATAGTTTTCTTTTAATAAAAGGTTTCTTTTTATATAATCTATCTTATTTATAAAAAAAAGGCGCATACGATAATAGCCTTCGCTATAACACTTTAAATTGCTTTCTAAGGCCTTCTTATATATAACTCCTTAGCTTAGCACGTCGTCGTACCTTATAAGAGGTCTTAGGGCGGCAGGCTTCGCTTGCTATCCGCCCGACGTAAATAAATACAATAACAATAACAACAACAACACCAGGCGCGGCTGACGTGCCCGGTCCAGGCGGCGCAGCAGTTACGCATACCGTCTTGCGTAGGTACTCACTCGGATCGGGAAAAATTGGCGTGAAGGGAGAGGAAAGCGTTCTGGCTCTTGCGTAGCGGCGGGTTTCTCGATCTCTCGCGCGCGGTCTTGCGGACGGCTTGGGGAACCTTGGGGAACTATCTTTCTTGGGGTGAGCGTGTGTCGCCGGGGGGGGGGGGGTCGGGGGGTTCTTTCTTTCTTTCGCGCGTTGATTTTTATCGGATACGTATGTACGGGAGGTAGGTAGGTAGGGAGGTAGATAGATAGGTGGATAGATAGGTGGCTTTCCGAGCGGCCTCGATCGGTATAGATGCGAATACCGGTTTCTTTATTTTATTATATATATATATATATATATCTTACTTATATCAAATCGTACACCCCCAAAGGTATGCCCTCGTAGCTTTCATGCCGAGCCGGGAGGGCGGGTATATTAGCAAAGCGCTCCAAACCGAAAGCGCGATAGGCACCGTACGTTTTGTCTGTCGAGCGATCGAAACCAGCTTTGTCAGATCTTTTCGTATCCGTTTTTCGGGGATCGCAAGTCCTCTTCTTCTGTTCGGTGGGTAGGCCCGTGAGATATGGATTTTCTGATCGGCGTGATGGTCGGAGAGGGAAAGGAGGTGCGGAGGCGCCGATGGGAGGAACTCTCGTCGCAGGTCGCCCGCTGCGTGTCGGTGGCTTGATTTCGGCTCTTTTGTGAGACTCTTTGCCGCGAGAGAGAGGGGGGGGTGCGGAAGTGGCAGCTCGTACGGGGAGAGAATCGTAGCCTTCTTGTTTCTTCTTTGTTTCTTCTTGAAATAGCGAAGTAATATCATATATATATTATTCAGACGTTTTCGGCGCCTTGAATGCTCACTTTTTTTTTTTTCTTTTTTCTTTTTTTTTCTTTCGTTATCTTGAATACCTCCGTCAGATTTCAAACCCGGAATTCTCATCATTAAAAGTGACGTGGGCTAAATAAAAAAGCTGTTAGAGTAAGATATTCTTACACTGTGAGGTCTGTGCTGTTGGTGACTGCCAGTTGGAAGAAGGAATAGCTAGCTAGCGTAGAAGGAGAACTGTATACAGTTCTCTTTCTCTTTAAGGGGATTCCCTCTTCCTTAGATAACCGAAATCAATACAATTGGAACCACCTTCTGCGTCCCCATCACAAGGAAGAATTATCTTCTTACAAAAGCTACCATGATACAGTCTTTTTACTTTCAATCTGAGATGTAATTATAATAGAAATCGAGTCAATCAATCGATCGACAACTTATTAAAGATAGAATTCTAATTATTACTTCTAGATAACCATCAAAAATAAAAATTCTCAACATACAATTCTCAAGATACAATTTTCAAAATACCTAAATTGGTCCTTTTCCGCCTCTTGACAATTCAACTCAATGCAAAGCCCTCCGGAAAATAAAATAAAAAATCCTGTTAATCACCTAACCCCTTTCTAACTTACTAACACCAACTTACCCCAACTTACTCACGATAACTTCCCTCTACCTAGGTACTTACCCTAACTTACACCAACTTCTTAACTCCTTAATCCACTCATCTCTCAACACCACCTACCT